AAAATCATTAATAAGGGTGATAACGGTAATGGTAATATCAAAAGCTTTCTTTAAACTTGAAGGTCAGGCAGCAGATCCGTATATGCCACGGGTGGTGTTAACCGTTTTTTACTGTGCAGAGGTATGATACTCAAAATGTAGAGAAAATAGTGATTAAAAAGTGAACGGAAGGGAAATCTATTAACTGAAAATAGGATGTGTCCTATCGAAGCTTTTTAATACTTGGAATGTTTAAGTTTGCTAAATCTCAGGGTATTGCAGGTGCAGGGCTATAGGAAAGAACATTTCTTTTGTTTCTAGCGTATTGAGAGGTGGGTAATAGGGTCTGGTAATTTTTAATAACTAATTTTCGTCAATTTCTTAATAACTTGGAAGGAGCCAGGAGGATGATTTTGGAGAATTTCGATATTTGTGGAGGGACGTCGGTGGAAAGGAGGAAACCAAATCCGTCAAATCACCCGAGACAATACAAAAAATGAAAGGTTGGTGAGTTTGATTTATCACATAAACTGCGGTGTTATACAGGGATTTCCGGCTCTGAGAAAAGCCGTAACAACACACGTGAAAAAATATTTTTTTTCACGTGTATTGATATAGCCAATCAGCTGCTGATACGTCACTCGCCTTTAGCGCCACTCGGTCAGGTTGATGAATGAACGGCAAAGCTTTCACGATTCTCAATACAAGTTATTTGTCGGAGCTTTCTCGAGTTATGGCGACTAAAACACTAAAAAATCCGTATCGTTGACAGACTGTGTGGTTCAAACTTTCTTAGAAGGGGAAGAAAACCAATATACTAAAAGAAAAACCGAAAGTTACATATTCAGTGGCTTTGGCGTTAGTATTTCTCCCGGCTGAGAATAAAATTTACAATTGGAAGATTTGCCACTGGCCGATTTTCGCCGTTTACCTGAAAGACTTCTTCTGTCGGTAAAGACAAAGTCAATAAATGAGAATTTGTAAATTCAAAATTACGATCATTGTTGTTTTTGTAATCATGATTCAACGCATTTTTCTATCTTAAGAGTTAGCGCCAACGCACTCTACGATTGTTATTCGGGGATTGTCGATTAATTTATCTTCATTCATTGATGAAGTCAGCTTTTCTTGACAGTAAAGGGCTGTTGTGTTTATATGATAAACAAAATAATACATGGTTGCATGTAGATATGGAATTTTTCTTCTCGTGTTCAACTCGACATCTCACTGTTCACTGCGCTCACTCGTGAGCTATCGAGTTAGACACTCGAATAGAAATTCCATGTCTACGTACGCCTATGTATTACTCTTTATTTAACTGACTGTTATCAAAACGGATCAAAGGTGACTTTCCTTTGATCAAATAAATCAGACGTTTTGTGCGTAGTATGTTATGGCTGTTGTTGCGATGGTGTGTTGTGAGATGTTTTTTTACCGACGAGTTGTCGTTGGTCAAGTGTTCTTTTGTTCGATCATGTAGATGAAGTCAAAGTAATCACGCGTGAAAATGACCCCGTCAATCTGCGATTGTACGAAGCGTATTACATCAGAAAGCACAAGCCGGGACTGAACTCCCGTGAGGAATGCACTGAACTTAACGATCTTCTATTTTAATGAGCTATTTTAATTAACTGTTTTTAACACATGTTTTAGAACTTTTTATCACGCCATTAGTTTTCATGCATCCTACTGGCTAGTTTTACACTATGCTAATTTACAGTGGCACCTCCAACGTTTAAAACCATAGCGCAAATATTTTATCGTCCTCCCTGATGATGCCGTAGAACGGCGAAAGCTCGGAGTGAATAAATAAAGAAAGAACCACAGTAGCACTTAAAGGCTTCATTTGATCAATATCCCACACCAAACTCTATTTGTTTTTCGACGCGTATGAGTAAGTTCTGTAGTGTTCCCCTGGCCTGCGTTATACCCTTTTAGTCTTCAAAGTGAACTATTAATTGATATCTGCCAAAAGCGTTTCAAACTTAGTAACATGAAATGATTTAAGGAAAGCGAACAGGTACGCATCTGTACTCCATTAAGTTAATGGATTTCACCCCAAGGGGCCAACCTGTTACCAACTTGACTAATTTCACCATATCGGTCCTATTCGAGGAGACTTTTAGCTTAAGTAGAAAATAAATCTAAGTTAGAGAAGAATATTATACCCTCCCCTGTTTTGGTAACAGGGAATGTTATTCAATCTATGCATATTACGATGATTCTAATGATGATTGTCTCAAAGATGATGATGATACTAACAATGATAACGAGGATTAATAAAATAAGAATGATAATATAAGCTTTATCTAAACTTGAAGACCGATTAGCGGATCCACACAAACAAAGGTTGGAATAGACCGTCTCCTCAGAACATAAACGAATTGCTATCAAAACATGAAGAAAAAACTTGAAGGGAAAAACTTGTATGAGGGAAAATCAACCAGCTTATTTTTAAAAAACCGCATTGCCAATTTTAAAGATTCCTTTTAGTTCACAAACTTTGAGACAGCTTAATGAAACTGAAGGGTGATAAAGAGTAACACTATAACAAATAAACACTTAAATAGACCAAAGCCGGGATCAGTTTTAGAAAGTTTCCCTTATTCTTTCCTAACGGAGTTGACTTTTCCAATAAACTGTAGTATCTGTAATGTTTCGATTTGGTAGGCTTTTACATATCACAAACAAAGCTTAATTTAGAAGTGACAGGTCAAAGTGAGAGTTAGATGTACGGAGCTGATAGGTTAAAATGTTTCATGGTGAGAACAAACCTACACCAGTTCATCGTTCTCTTTGACCGGGAAAACCTTATGAATTTATTTTGCGCGCTATTTTTAACAACTTTGATTTTCAAGTTTATTTACTAGCTACCAGTTGAGAGGAACTCTGCTTTTGTTTCAATTGTCCAAAATATTTGATGAGTTCAGCACAAAGTTTGAGAATTATTTTAAGTAACCGAAGATGTTTACTTTTAAATTTATGTTAGCCTGCAGGGAAGGTGTCCTATTAGAGCGCTAACGTTATAAGCTCGCGATCGTCTATACGACCAGCCATGTTTCACTTGGAGTTAGATTAGACGGAGGCTGTTTTTTCATCAACGAAAAAGAATTGGCTTAACCAAAACGTTCTCTGCTGACGCAAATACGAGTTCATGACGCATTTGGCTTAGGATTGACAGCTTGAGCTTAACAGGACCAATAAGGAACTCCGTTCCTGGGCAAACGGAGTTTTGCAAAATAACAGTGACTTCGGGCAGGCGTAATCTTCACTTCCCATCCCTACCCCTCTGTTTATTTTTGACCGACGACCGCCCCCTTGGTACAAATTTCTTTTTCTCTCCAGCCTTCCGCTGTCATTAAAATCAAAGACGGCGGCCACGATTTTCGTTTAAGGGAATACTGAGCACTCGGTTGCCAAAATTACGCTTGCTTTGCAGGCTAAATTTATGTAGAACACACAGAAAAAGCAGAAAGAGAAAACTACCAGTGAAAGAATGAATCTAGGAATCAAAGGCCACGGAAATTTAAAATAAATGAGATGAATGCTCCAATATCAATTGACTAAACGTTATTCCTTTACTTCCTATACGTTAGTTATCCTGATGGTAATCATGCAAGTAAGCTAGTGTTCAATCTCGGGGAAGTGTCATTTACCAATTGCCAATTGTCAGTGGTAGGCCGGAGCATATCAATGATGGTAGAAGCACTATTGAGTTAGAGTGTAAGCATCTGGGTTTGCTTTGAACACTGGGGAACTTCCAATTTATGCAATTGTTACACCGCATGTGCATTGAAATAAGACAGGAATTGCATTTTGGACAATTAACACTTAGTTAAGACTTGATCCATTTTCCAGTGAAGTAACGATCAAAAGGCTCTGGTAATTTCTCTGAAATGGAAGGAGACCAGAGAATAATTTTGGATGGTGGCGTAAATTTTGTTCTATTTAAAGGGACGTCGGTAAAGAGGAGGAAACTAAATCCGCCAAATGAACGGTGGGTGAACTTGATTTATCAGACTGTTATTAAAAGAGATCAAAGGTGACAAATTGCACTTTTCTATGGAACAATTTTTTGATCCAATGAATTAAACCAAACATCAGTCCTTGAGGATTAAGAGATCATTAACCTTGTCATATTAAGTGACACTACGCGAATTCAAACTTCACGGGTTGTCAGCCTGCCAGCAGACCCAAATCGGGCGCCAATGAAAAGGCATCGATGGGTGCAATTAAAGAATAAGACTTCAACCTATGATGAGGACTCCTTAAATTTATCACAGTTTTCCAAGCCAACAATCATGATCGATAACATCGACCGTATTTTTAATCTAAGAAAACTACAGCAAATCAATCCGCAACCGTTTTTTCACCATTAATGGTCTTTCACTTTAGTTGATTTGATCAATAAAAGCAAATTGTTGCTGCGTTTTTTATAATATAAACGAGCTATCCTACAGCCCTGCTCATCGCTCGTGCTTTATTTGGCTTCATTGTTTGACCCCGTCTTGCCATTTGAATAGGACCGAAAATGTTGTGTAATCCATGACCATTACCTCGGCTTTACCGAGGAGTGGTAAAAAGCAGCTCTGCCCTAGTAGCATCACTGGTATAGCTAATTTTTTATTTGGGATGACATTTACCAAACACGTCTGTGATTCTAATTTATCACCGGGGTCGCTCAACGAGACAGTTTGTCAATTCATTTTTCTCCAGATACTGAAGTAAACACAGAAATTAGGCTAGCCAGCAACAGTTTCATCTTTTGAGAAATTTGGCTAAATGTATTCTTTCCCCTTTCCCCTCATTAAGAATAAGTTTAACTCTGGTGGATGCACTCTTTTTTATTTTAACATTTTAACTGGACTTACATTTCAACATTCCAAGTAACTGATCGAGAAATGTTTCAAGTACAGCTGTCCAACTCTGATCGAATGGCCAACTGTTGGATTACTCCAGTTTTTATTTCCGTTTAATTAGGTGCTTGTCATTTTAGTGATTACATGTAAGATAGGAAAAGATCACATTTCCTCTTCTTCTTCCTCCCGTTGAATTGGAATTGGATGTTTTGCTGCGTGGTTCTTGGTTTTGCCGGGTGTTGAGTGCTTAGCGGCATCTTCAGCTGTGTAAGGTGTTGGCATCCCTCTCGCTTGACCTGTAACAGGATCCTTTGCCTCGTCGTAGGTTGCGTTGCTAGGTACTTTATGTTTACCAGCATCTTTGGACGTAATTGGTAAGGACCACACAACCTTCCGTTCATTGCGATCTTTATTGTAGCAACCACACTCAATCCACAACTTTTTCCAACCGCATCCTTCCCACATCCAGGTGTGGTTGTTGATGTATGCCATTTGTTTGATATGACCTGTTATTTGTTTTTCCGAATGGTAGCGGACGCACGTTTTTCCTTTGCAAGCACATTTGACGCCAATTACGTAATGACAATTGTCATCATTATGGCAACCATCGTGAGCGAGAGTACATACGAATTCTGGATTTTCTTTCATTGGCTGTTTGTAGTCGAACTTTTGAATTTCAACATTACCACTTGTACTGTAAGGACAACCAAAATCCAAGAATCCACTGTAGTAGTACTGGAGGTTTGTTGCTCGGTGGAAATTCTTAGATCCTGATTTAAAGCGGCTTTTTAATATGCTCCAGATCGTCATGAAAGTATGCTGGACAGGCTTAGGTGCCTCGTCAGCTTCATTCATGAGTTTATTTATCAGTTCAGCCGACTTCTTTCCATTCGTCAAAGCGCTATTTGTATCCCTCAGTCCTTCCCTTAACAGACCTTGTCTCCTTAACATTCATCTTTCTTGCCTTGGATATTTCACTGTTTGTCACATTAGAACAAGCCGAAAGACCAAGTTCTCCAACATCCGTGGGACCTGCAGCCGAGATACAGGTTCTTACCTGGAAATCTCTCTCTCGCTATACGATTCAGAACTCTCTGCGAACACCATTTGCTGGAACCTCGATCCGGTCTCTTCAGACGTTATGACATGAGAGCCATATGTCTCCAGGAAAGTGCTGTATGCTTCCCAAGAATTGTGGAGCCAGGGTTCCTTAATTTTCAATGGCAATGTACTAAAGAATTCCATGAATTCTTTATTCAGGGTGGACTTTTTGGCATTTGTGAGGCAATTTTTATCGACGTACATCTTTTCTGCCAACGCCTGCTTGATCAAAGATATGCCACTCGCTTGTCTTTTCTCTGAGCTTTTTCTCTTTGTTGCCACTGATACAGTAGCACCCAATGTAAAGATAGAGATTAACGATGCACTAAGGCTTGACTCGATGGCAAGTGACTTATAAAATGCCTCGGTATTTTTATAGTAATCGAAATTGCAGCTTGACTTTGTTGTACTAATGATCTTTTTAAAGCATTCTGATGGAAGTGGATCAAAGATGCTGTTCTCCTTTTCTTGAAAGTCGTCCAGCAAGTTTATGTTCGGTGGGAAAACTATTTTTCCAAGCCCCTCGGATTTCGCTTCTTTGAGCCCGTTTGATTCACCTTTGGTAGCTATTTTTGCTTCAGAAAATGCGAGTGTCACGCAAAGCGACAGAACCAGGGAGGCAAACATGGTTTATAGCCTGGAATTCGTCGTTTTCTTAATGTCGCAAGAAGGCACAAAATCTGCGAAACAGAGACAGGTTTAGTATAACCGAACAGCATTTTGTCTACTTAAATGTCCACTTCTTCAGAGAATAATTAGTTTGGAAAATCATAATAGCAACGAAAACGGTATTGATAATGATGATGTATAATAATGATAATAACGATAATAGTTATGATAATAATAATAGTATCACTTACAATTATCAACCTTCATCCAAAGTTATATTTGGAAACTTCTTTGAAATTCTTAAAAGATGAACATTTTTTAGCGTCAATGGCTCTATACCCGTCGGATCATTTTCCTCTCATTAATGTGGTTGATATATTCTTCGAAGTAACGTGAAGTTTAATTGTCGGTGGACCATTGAACGATGGTCTGTCGCTATTTAGCAGATAGTCAGTCGTCAACTAGCCAGCGATTGGCCGAATGTCGTTCTATTTCATTAGACATATCTATTAAAATATCATTTGATACATTTTGCAATGCTTGACGTGATATACCGATGATCCACTTTATTACTACCGCTCAGCGACAGACCTAAATGCAATAATAATCTACCAAATAACTTGATTGATGGAACCCATAAAAAATTAGTCGGTTTTACTACTATTATAGGCTCAGAAGGAGCAAGAATTACGATACAAAACCTCGAGTAACGCACCCGTTAAAGCTTTAGACAAACAATATTATCACAATTAAATGTAATAAATCATAAATCAACAAAGGAATTTAATTATCTTCTATAGCGTTCATCACTTCCTCGGAAACATTCACAAAACAGCCATTTATCATTTGATTTGTTTTTTTTTTCCTCTTCTGTACTATTTTGTAAAAAGTGACCATTCTGTCATTTGAGCTTTTAGAGGGTGTTTTTACCTCTTAAGTCAACCTTAATAACAAACTACGGATACCAATTTAATTGAGGCATACAGACAGAAAGAATTACGTAGCTAAGAATGAAAATACTTTGTTTCTGCTTTTAGTCCTGAAAGGCAGCACGCGGCTCCACCTACAGATAATTATGAAAATATGACGTCGATGATGGAATAAATATGTCCTATCACACGTTTTTGTTGTATCGCTGAATCTTAATACGATTTACGAACCAGAGCGCAAAATATAGATATTAAGCAATTTATTTTTTAAATTATTTGTTATCCAACTATTTTATTTGTATGAATTTCTTATGAGGCCGGAAAAGCAGGGCAAATAGAGAGCGGTTTGTGATCGGTGTTGTGTTACGCTCGCGTCGGATTGGCTCATGAGACGTCAACCTGTCAAGCAAAGTTTCTACACCATTCAAAGTTGAACTTGATTTGTTGATCGTTTATATACCGTTTATTTATAGCCAGCGCGCTAAATCTCAAAATAGCTGCCTTCCGTTCTGTCAGTGTTTCCAAGTGATGAACGCGATAGAAGAAAATTCAATTTCGAAGAGCATAAAAGATGCTTCTAAGTTTGGTGTAACACTTTTCGAAAGAAAGATACGAAGTTTTTGCTGATTGAACTAAAGAAACCTGTTAAAACTGCTTGCTTATCTTGACACGAGTAATCAACAGAGTTGTAAGAAAATAAGCGCAATGCTTTCTTTATTTACAGAATTTACAACAGAGTTCGAAAGCACCCTAGTAATTATACGTGCGTAAGCACTGCCTTAGAAGTCTGAAGTGAACACGCATCTTATTACAGATGGCAAAGAGACTGTTGAATTTGGTGGATCAATCGGGGACGACCCTAGTTAGGATGATGGCTAATTTTTACCTGACATGTACCTAGTAATCGAAATTTGAACAAGTGACTGTCCCCCCACAACAACTTACCCATTATTAGGAGGGTAAGATTTCAATGTCAAGTTTACTTAGTAACCTGAGACCTTATTCGGCAAAACAACCAATATGAACAACAAGTGAAACTTAGTTACTTTAAAATATGACAGCATAATTTAGTTGATTTTTAGGATCTTTCATGTGAAACCCTGCACAGTTTATCCACGAGTTTACCACAGATAACTAAGTTACTTGAAAGTATGGCAAAGTGATTTACTTGTTTTTTAACATCTCTCTCGTAGCGTTACTATCTACTCACCTTATGGGTTCGATTCTTCCAGTTCTTCCTCTGTTTGTTAGAATCTGTAAACTGTGGTTGATATAAGATTTTTTGGCTTTAAAAATAGAACTTCGCTTGATTTAGAAGTCATAGGTCACATAATATTTACGTGTAGACAGCTCAGGGGTTAAAAGGTCTCATTGTAAAAACCAAACTCCATTTGTTTATCGACGCGTATGAGTAAGTTCTGTAGTGTTCCCCTGGCCTGCGTTACACCCTTTTAGTCTTCAAAGTGAACTTTTAATTGATATCTGCCAAAAGCGTTTCAAACTTAGTAACAGTAAATGATTTATGGAAAGCGAACAGGTACGCATCTGTACTCCGTTAAGTTAATGGATTTCACCCCAAGGGTCGACCAATTACCAATTTGATCAATTTCACCATATTGGTCCTATGCAAGGAAACTTTTAGCTTAAGTAGAAAATAAATCCAAGTTAGAGAAGAATCTAACCTCCCCTGTTTTGGTAACAGGAAATCTTATTTAATCTATGTTCATTACGATGATTGCGGATCCACGCCAGCAAAGCTTGGAATGGACCGTTTCCTCAAAACATAAACGAATTACTTTCAAAACATGAAGAAAAGAGTAGGGAAAAACTTTTTATGTTGTATTGTTTCTCACTCAATAAAGAGTTGAAATCTTTAACTTCGTTAAAGTTCCAAAGGTATAACTATTACAGGTCTAAGACTTTTAGGTGAGGGCTCTCCTTTCCTTTCTAGTGCTGTATTAGAGGCAGTATGGGCGCTCGAAAGATAAAGTTATGGTACTACTCTGTCAGATTTCTAGCACAGAGTTGGGAACTCATTACGAAAAATTCTTGTGATAGCGTGCGACAGTTATGATCGTTCGCTAATCTCTAAACCAATTGCAGACGCATTTCACGTGGCTAGTTGAATAAGATTTAAAGTTCGAGCTCCTCTCAAAAATTTGTGTACTAGTTATGTGGTTTTTTTTCATTTAGCTTTTAACCCAGACTTCACGGTGATTTTTTCCCCTTGTAGAATACATATTCATTAGTTATAAGAGTGCTAATGTTAAACCTTGTCATGAAACGACTCAAACCTCTTTAAACAGCCCAAAAATTTTCCGCATAAACTAATTGGTGCAATTGTGCAAGCTTATTTTTTAAAAATTGCATTGCTAATTTTAAATAATCCTTTTACTCCACAAACTTTAAGATAGCTTAATAAAGCTGAAGAGTGATAAAGAGTAACAATATTACAGATAAACACCTGAATAAACCAAAGCTGGGATTCGTTTTAGAAAGTTTCCATTTTCTTTCCCAAAGGAGTTGATTTTTCAAATATACTGTAGTATCTCTAATGTTTCGACTTGGTCGGTTGCGTGTCGCTTTTACAGATCACAAACAAAGCTTAGTTTGGAAATGACAGGTCAAGGGAGGGTTAGATGTATGGGGCTGTTAGGTTAAAAGGTTTCATGGTAAAAAGAAACCTACACCAGCTCATCGTTCTCTTTGACCGGGAAACCCCGAAAGTTAGAGAAGAATCTACCCTGCCTTGTTTTGGTAACGGGGAATCTTATTCAGTCTATGCATTTTACGATGATTATAATGATGATTGTTTCAAAGATGATGATGATACAAATAATGATAAAAAGGATTATAAAAATAAGAATGATTATATAAGCGTTATTTAAACCTGAAGACCGATTAGCGGATCCACACAAGCAAAGGTTGGAGTGAACCGTTTCCTCACAACATAAACGAATTACTATCAACACATGAAGAAAAATTTGGGGAAAAACTTGTATAAGGGAAAATCAACCAGCTTATTTTTTAAAAACCGCTTTGCCAATTTTAAAGACTCCTCATAGTCCACAAACTTTAAGACAGCTTAATGAAGCTGAATAGTGATAAAGAAGAACGGTATATCAGATAAACACCTAAATAAACCAAAGCAGGGATCACTTTTAGAAAGTTTCCCACGTTCTTTCTCAACGGAGTTGACTTTTCCAATTCACTGTAGTACCTGTAATGTTTCGATTTGGTGGGTTACGAGTGGTTTTTACAAACAAAGCTTAATGAATTTAGAAAAGAAAGGTCAAAGGGAGAGTTAGACGTACGTAGCTGATAGGTTAAAAGGTTTTATGGCGAAAAAAAACCTACACTAGTTCATCGTTCTATTTGACCGGGAAACCCTAACGAATTTATTTAAGACTACAGAATTACGAAATATAAACCCAAACCTATGTTACACAGCTTAATTCGAGAGAGCAGCGAGAATCATTCCATAACAAATGCTACTCAGTCGAAAAATAGCCGAGTTTAGAACGAATATCGAATTATTTCTTTCGACGGATCGATTGATGTATTAGTTAATGCTGGATCCTTTAAAAAACTTAATAATGACCATTTCAGTTTCAGGATCATTTATAATCTTCATTAAGATCAATTGCGGTTCAAGTTGGGGATCATTAGTGGGTTTGAACCATTACCATTCATGTGTTCATTTGGAAAGCGGACAGGATTGGCATGACAAGGGAAATTTTTTCTTTGTTTTGTATACCGATTTGTGACCTGGTAAAATGATTACATTGTGTAACATAATATTCATCTTCAAGATTATTTGAAGTTTGGTGGCTACCTCTGTGATGCAATAGTTACTAACCTTATAATTTGGTTAAAACTTTTAGAAACAAACTAGTCAGTTACAGCACTAGCAATAATGATAGAGATCTAGAGTACTGGTTACAACCATCGTAAAGCTCTCTTGCTATGTAATTGAGGCTATTTTTGTTTGAAAGAGAGAAATTAAAACCATGGTTAAGGTACCTGTGCATTTCTTTTCATTTACTAGTTGCCAATCGGAGTGAAGTTATCAAGGTTTCTGTTACTTTGCTGTCTTTTCACTTTTTGTATTTGGAAACATTAGCTATTGGAAGGAATTGTCACTGCTGCAACAATATTGTTAGGAAAGTCAATAGAATGGGGTGCATTTTATCTGGTCTGATGTTTATGTTTTATTTCTTTAGGTGTGGGGATAATGTGTCCTACCTGCAGGCTGGATCTTGTTTGTTTCCATCTTGTCCAGTGCTTTCAATAAGATTTGAAGTAGGTGGCTAGCTCAGTAAAGCAACCGCCGGAAAATAATATGAAAAAATAATTTCCCACTCCTTAGGCCATTAGTTCCATTCAGAATAAACTGGCCTCAAACGGAGTGCTCGGTGATTAACTTTGGTAAATGATCATCATAATTAGTCTCCTTTGAAACAAGTTTTTAACTGATCGTTTTATTTTCTAATCAAAGTCTTCCATTTACTGACGTGCAAACCTGGTGCAAGATCGGAGAGTTCCACACTCGCCGGAGTCCTCCCAAGAGCCATATGGTTGCTAATAACCGAGATTTGAGCCAGTATGTTCTTGAAAACTCAAAACATGTTTTTTTTTTTGCTGAAAATGTGGTATATGATGAGACACGTAGAGCTGACGAGTAAAATGGTGAGCCATTTTTTTTAAAGCCAGGAACGAAAAGGCCTCGACAAAACCTCTTCCGCAACCACAAATGTGAGCTGATATTTGCTTCAATCCATATTCTTCAAACGAAAATCCTTGAGTAAAGCTGCCCTTAATCGATTAAACAATTTTTCTTCCATTTAGTCGTAAACGATACTTGGAAGCAACAAACAACTGCACTCGAAGGTTTACCCACCATAATTTGTTTGATGTAAACCGGCATACTCTGGTGAAACGGTGTGGCTGTTTTTTTCATTAACGAAAAAAAATTGTTTCACCAAAACGTTCTCTGCTGACGTAAATACGAGTTCATATTTGCCGCACTCTATATCCTCCAAATGACAATCCAGTGTAGAAATTGCTTCGTTTTGTTCCGATTCTAGTGCGCGAGACGTGTTAAATTCCGTGCTTCCTCGAGAGCCGAATCGAAACTTATAACTTTACAATTAGAGTTCGCCGTCTTTCTCTTTGTCCGGTGAGAGCGAAATGTCAGAACGACGCTCTAATGACGCATTTTGCTTATGACTGATAGCTGGAGCTCAACGGCACCAATAAGGAACTCCGTTCGTGGGCAAAAATAATTTTTTTTCAGAATAAGAATGACTTCGGGCAGGCGTAATCTTCACTTACTCACCCCTACCCTTCTTATTTTTGACCGACGACCGCCCCCTGGGAACAAATTCCTTTCTCTCTCCAGTCTTCCGCCGCCATTAAAATCAAAGATGATGGCCATAATTTTCGTTATGGGAATACTGAGCACTTGCTCGCCAAAATTACGCTTGCTTTGCAGGCTAAATTTTTTTAGAACACACGAAAAAAGCAGAAAGAGAGAACTGCCAGTAAAAGAGTTAATCTAAGAATTCAAAGGCCACGCAAATTCAAGATAGATGAAATGAATGCTCCAGTATTAAATTGACTAAACGTTATAACTTTACTTCCTAGACATTAGTTGTCCTGATGGTAATCATGCAAGTAAGTTAGTGTTCAATCTAGGTGAAATTTCATTTGCCAATTGCCAATTGTCAATGGTAGGCCGGAGTGTGTCCATGATGGTAGAAGCACTATTTAATTAGCGTGTAAGCATCTGTGTTTGCTTTGAACATTGTGGAACATATGCAATTGTTAGACCCGCATAGCACATGCACGTTGAAATAAGCCAGGAATTGTATTTTGGACAATTACCACTTAGTTTAGACTTGATCTTTTTTTCAGTGAAGTAACGATCAAAAGGCTCTGGTAATTGCTCTGAAATAGAAGGAGACCGGAGGACCATTTGGGAGAGTGACACGCATTTCAATGTACTTGGAGGGACGTTGGTAAAGAGGAGGAAACTAAATCCGCCAAATTAAATGAACGGTGGGTGAACTTAATAAAGAGGACATTAACCTTGTCAAATTAAGAGACATCATGCGGACTCAAACTTCACGGGTTGTCAACCTGCTAGCAGACACCAAATCGAGAGCCAATGAAAAGGCATCCATGTGTGCAATTAAAGAATAAGACTTCAACTAATGGTAAGCTACTCCTTAAATTTATCATGGTTCATCCTAGGCAACAATCATGATCGATAACATCGAACGTATTTTTACTCTAAGAAAACTACTGCAAACCAATCCGCAACCGTTTTTTCACCATCACTGGTCTTTCGCTTTAGCTGATTTGATCAATAAAAACACATTATTACTGCGTTTTTTATAATATAAACGAGCTATCCCTACAGCCCTGCCCATTGCTTGTGCTTTATTTGGCTTCAATGTTTGACCCCGTCTTGCCATTTGAACAGGACCGAAAATGTTCTGTAATCCATGACCATTACCTTAGCTTTACCCAGATGTGGTAAAAAGCTGCTCGGCCACAGTAGCATCACTTGTAAAGCTAATTTCTTATTTCAGATGATATTGACCAAGCGTGTCTATGATTCTAATTTAACTTAACACCGGGGTCGCTAAACGAGACAGTTTTTCAATTCATTTTTCTTCAGATACTGAAGTAAACACAGAAATTAGGCTAGCAACAGTTCTATCTTTTGATAATTATTTTTAATTTATTCTTTCTTTCCCCCTTCCCCTTTCCCCTTTTCCTTTTCCCTTTCCCTTTCCCTTTCCCCTTTCCCCTTTCCCTTTCCCCCCTTTCCCTTTCCCCTTTCCCTTTTCCCCCTTCCCCCTTTCCCCTTAACAAAAATAAGTTCAACTCAGGTGAATGCACTCCTTTTTATTTTAACACTTTAATTGGATTTACATTTCAACATTCCAAGTAACTGATCGAGAAATGTTTGAAGTACAGCTGTCCAACTCTGATCGAATGGCCAACTGTTGTATTACCCCGTTTTTATTTTCGCTTAATTAGGTGCTCGCCGTTTTAGTGACTACATGTAAGATAAGAGAATAATCACATATCTTCTTCTTCTTCCTTCCGTTGACTTTGAATTGGATGTTTTCCTGCGGGGTGCTTATTACCGCCGGGTGTTGAGTGCTTGGCAGCATCTTTAGCTGTGTAATGTTTTGGTATTCCTCTCGCTTGATCTGTAACAGGATCCTTTGCCTCGTCGTGGGTTCCTTTGCCAGGTGCTTTATGTTTACCAGCATCTCTGGACGTAATTGGTAGGAACCACACAACCTTCCGTTCATTGCGATATTTATTGTAGCAACCACACTCAATCCACAACTTTTTCCAATTGCATCCTTCCCACATCCAGTTGTGGTTATTGACGTATGCCATTTGTTTGATTTGACCTGTTGTTTGTTTTTCCGAATGGTAGCGAACGCACGTTTTTCCTCTGCAAGCACACTTGACGCCAATTACGTAATGACAATCGTTATCGTTATGGCAACCATCGTCAGCGAGAGTACATACGAATTCTGGATTTTCTTTCATTGGCTGTTTGTAGTCGAACTTTTGAATTTCAACATTACCACTTTTACTGTAGGGACAACCATAATCCAAGTATCCACTGTAGTAGTACTGGAGGTTTGTTGCTCGGTGGTAATTGTCAGATCCTGATTTAAAGCGGCTTTGTAATATGCTCCAGATCGTCATCAAAGTATGCTGGACAGGCTTAGGTGCCTCATCAGCTTCATTCATGAGTTTGTTTATCAGTTCAGTCGACGTCTTTCCATTATTCAAAGCGCTATTTGTATCCCTTAGTCCTCCCCTGACAAATCTTGTTTCGCTAACAGTCATCTTGCTTGCCTGGGATATTTCACTGTTTGTCACATTAGAACAAGCCGAAAGACCAAGCTCTCCAACATCTGTGGGACCTGCGGCCGAGATACAGGCTCTCACCTGGAAATCTCTTTCGTTATACGATTCAGAGCTCTCTGCGAACACCATTTGCTGGAACCTTGATCCGGTCTCTTTAGACGTTATGACATGAGAGCCGTATTTCTCCAGGAAAGTGCTGTATGCTTTCCACGAATTGTGGAGCCAGGGTTCCTTAATTTTCAATGGTAATGTACTTAAGGATTCCATGAATTCTTTATTCAGGGTGGACATTTTGGCACTTGTGAGGCATTCTTTATTAACGTAAATCTTTTCTGCCAACGCCTGCTTGATCAAAGATATGCCACTCACTTCGCTTTTCTCTGAGCTTTTGCTCTTTGTTGCCACTGATACAGTGGCACCCAAAGTAAACGTAGAGGTTAAGGATGCGCTCAGGCTTGACTCGGTGGCCAGTGACTTATACAATGCGTTGGTATTTTTATAATAATCGAACTTGCTGCTTGACGACGTTAAGGTCTTCTTTGTAAAGCATTCTGGTGAAAGTGGATCAAAAATCCTATTCTCTTTTTCTGGAAAGTCGTCCAATAAGTTTACGCTCGGTAGGAATATTATTTTTGCAAGCTCCTCTAATTCACCTTTGGTAAATTTTTTCACTTCTTTGAGCTCGTTTGATTCACCTTTGGTAGCTATTCTCGCTTCAGAAAATGGGAGGGTCAACCAAAGCAACAGTGTTAGGGAGACAAACATGATTTCCAGCTGAAAAGCGTCTTTATGCTTGGGCGAAGGCACAAAATCTGCGATACAAAGACAAGTTTAAATTAACTCAACAAAATTACGTGGCTCGATGGTGAGCGGCTACTAATATGGTAGTTAAAAAAAGTCCTTCAAAGTTATGTTTTAAAACTTTCCAGAACTCCGTTTCTACGGTTTATTGGAAAAAGTTGAAATTCCTCTTGGCCATCGTCCTAGGGAGTAATTTTAATCGATGACCTCTCTGTTTTAGGCAGTCCATAACATATGCGATCAACAGTTACAGTACGACTGTAAGACTCAAAGTGAGAACAATTTAGAGGTGGGGTTTAAATGATTAAAATACTGCGGCTGGTGCTGTCCCTTATGCAAACTTGGTAGTTTTAGTTTCACAAACTTACGCACGTATCTAAATAATCCAATAAAGATCCAAAAATTTAAGAAAGGGTATGACTGTTGGTTCATTCTTGAAATTGCAACAATAATCGTCGAGGTCCAACTTTCTCTCAACTGTGTTTGTTTGTTAATCTGAGGGTAACACCAATCGATAGAAATCAAGTGAGGTGTAACGTTTAAACAAAGAAAAAACGCTTCACTGAGAAAAGCAATGGTACCAGGAGTATTGGAATCTAAGAGAATACTTAAACACCTTTTGAATTGACGAGAAAAGGACCGCGGCTGAAAGTTTTTGAGCCACCACCTCGTCATACAAAACGATAAACGTGTTAATGAGTCAAAACGATTCACGAACGTTTCAAGAAAAATGTCTTTGCCTGCTTTTTTATTGGTGGCATCAATTATGGAAATCAATTGGAATGTGAAGTTTGAACAAGTCAGACACGCAAAGCAGAGCAAAACAACGAGAATCTAATTATTGAAAGTTAAAAGAATATACTTAAACAAGTTTTGAATCTGGGAGAATAAGAGCGCGATTGAGGGCTTAATATTATTCAAGGAAAAAATAATTATCACTGGTAACTGATGTGGTCCTCAAGATAGTACGACTTTAAACCTTTTTGGAAAAATCAATATTTTTCTTGCTGCAAAATCCCAAAAATAAAAGAAAAGAGTGTCGAACGCTGGAGTATCGAATCATTTAATTGGACGTGACAATTGATTTATTTGTCGGTTCTGGGACTGATGTGCATGCCGATTGTCTATTGTATTTCGAATGCTTTATGAAATTCTCCTAGTTGTCTGAATTTTCTAATGAACCTATCAATTTAAGCCAACAACACTTTTATGATAATCACTCTCGTGGCGAAGCTCCTTCAACAAGTCTCCCGTCAGAATCGACTTTACATGTTACAACAGAATAACCTCCCAATTTTTATAATATTGACACTTAGTATACTGGGTTGTAAAGATAATAATGATTTCATCTTTGTAGTTTACTTTAAGTTGTTTCATCCTGTTAGGGAAAACAAACTGCACCTTTCGCCCGTGAAAAAAAAGCTTTTAAAGGTCTTTTCTTTCTATATTTATCATTTTTGTAGTGTATCGGATTTGTCTATTATGGCACAGAACAGAATTTGATAATATACTTGGAACGCCCTCAGCTTATTGGGTAAAACAATGGAAGATAGAAGCCTATTAACACTAAAAAAGTAAGCTACATTTAGAAAAAGTTTTTCTTGTACTAACCGACTGATGTAGATTCTCTTTGATTTCTCGTGATATGATGCAAATTGAAATGAAGATACGATTTTGCCCTCTGATAAATTCTCATCCCATTAGTAGACTGACACGTGGTTTATTTTGTGTGAACAATTGATAGGTTATTTTCAAGAATGTTCTTCAGTTTTTACGTTCTATCGGAGAAAACTTGAAATTCCACCAGGGCAGAAGTCCTTTTTAGTAATTTTTGCATGTGACCCCTCTGCACCAGCCGGTCCATAAAACTTGGAATCAATTGTTGCGATTCAAGCTGCACTCAACAACTTTTGGTTAAGTTTGAATAATTAACCAACTGCGAAGGATTTATAGCAAATATATCTTGCCTCAACACAAGCTTAGGATTTTTAAAGAAAAAACAAGGACTCAGGAAATGGAGAAAAGTATAACTGGTACTGTAAAAACTGCGACAAAAAAAAAACTCCCCGATGGGGGGGTTAATATTTTTTAAGGAGAATTTCACTATTCACGGTGATTGATGTGGTCGTCAAAACAGTAAAGTACGACTTTCAATATACCTGAAAAATCAATATTTTTTTGCTGCAAAATCCCAAAAATCAGAAGAAGAGTGTCGAGCGCCGGAGCATCGAATCATTTAATTTGAAATGAAGAATGGATTATTTGTTGATACAGGAACTGATGTGTATGCCGATTATCTATTAAATTTCAAACGCTTTATAAAATTCTCCCAGTTGATTAAATCCTCCATTGCCCTTATTGATTTGAGTCAACAAGACTTTTAAGATAAAAGATTTTGCGGAGTAGCTCCTTCAACAAGCTTACTGAATATTTACGACTTATTAGAGAAAGCTCGATATTCCACCAGGGCATACATCAGTCCTTGCTAGTAATTTTTACTGGTGACCCCTCTGCAGTAGCCGGTCCATAACACATGGGATCAATTGTTACGACTCAAGTGTCACTCAACGACCTCAACAACCGTTCCGGTAAAGTTTAAATAATTAACAGACTGCGAAGGATTCATAACAAATAGATTTTGCTTAAATGCAAGCCAAGGATTTTTAATTCATTCAAAAGTGTTTTAAAGAGAAAACTAGGACAGTCAGTGTTAAAACTGCAACAAAAATACACCAAAATCTACACTCTCTCAACGGTGTTTGTTTGTCCATTTACTGGTGGCATCACAGGCAGAAAACACCATGTGTTCGTGGTTAATTATTGTTGACATGAAACAAACAACATGTATATTCATTTCTCACAATGAACACAAGTGTCCCCTCGACACGCGCAGTAAGGGCCCAATCTGTAACTGCAGTCATCGTCCCTGTGGTAACTCTCTTTAGCCAGTGAACACTCTAATTCTAGCCGTTTGTCGTTGGAGTTTTTGGTGTAGTCGAACTTCTGAGGGGCCAGTCCTTTACTCTCTTTGAAAGAACAACCATAATTATTCAGATAGCCAAGGTAGTAGTATTGAAGGTTTAAGGCTCTGAGGTAATTATCTGATCCTGACGTGAAACGGCTCCCACGCCGCTCTGAGAGTGTGTTTAAAAGACAAGTGTGACTCACTTCTCTCATTTAGAAGTTGTTGTATCAATTCCTTCGACATGTCTTGCAACAGCTTGCCACGAGTCTCGCTCTTTCACTCTCGGGCCATCCGTTTATCAGTGGTGCTCATATGACTTGCCTCTGACGCTTCGGTCTCGATGACATGTACACATTTGTACACACGACTTGCAAAGGAAAGACAAACTTTGACCTGAAGATCTCTTTTACTGTAGGACCTAGAACGACATCTGTTTTAATTATAGATCCACGCGTAACAGAACTGTCGACGTGAGTGTCGTACTTGTCAAAGAAATCCTGGAACGTGGACCAAAATGCGTTGGTGCTTTCGTAGTGATCATAATAACTTGTTGAGATATTGACTTTCTCCTTTTTGAAACATTCTTCAGGAAAAGGCTCAAAAATAATTGCCTTCCGTTCCTTGAAATATTCTTATATATGGGTCTTTGGGAGGTTGATCGCTTTTCCAAGCTTTGCTGATTCGCTGGTCCCTTGGGTTCGTTTGCTTTCTGTAACCTCCTGGGATGTAGAAATGACTGTCAGGTACATGACCGTCATAAAGAGGAGAAACATGGCCACAGTTTTCCCTCGACCACTGTAATAAGAATAAGTTCAACCTGCCAGCAAAGATTGGTATTGGTGAGATCATACAAGTCAGTTAATTTTTTGAGGGTATTATGACAAAGGAAATTTTGTCTTTGTTTTGAATACCGATTTGTGACCTGGTAAAATGACGACATAGGGTCACATAATATTAATCTTCAAGATTATTTCAAGTTTGGTGGCTTCCTCTGCGATGCAATATTTACTAGGCTTATAATTTGATTGAGACTTTTAGAAACAAACAAATCAGTTACAGTACTAGCAATAATGATAGAGATCTAGAGTACTGGTTACAACCATTGTAAAAAAGCTCTCTTGCTGTGTAGTTGAGGCTAAGGTACTTTGTGCATTTCGTTTCAATTACTAGTTGCTGACGTGCAAACCTGCTGCAGGAGTTTCGCACACGCCGGAGTCCTCCCAAAAGCCATAGGGTTGCTAATAACCGAGATTTCAGCCAGTATGTTCTCGAAAACTCAAAACATGTTTTTTTTTTGCTGAAAATGTGGTATATGATGAGACACGTAGAGCTGACGAGTGAAACGGTGAGCCATTTTTTATTAGCAAGGAAAGTAAAGGCCTCGACAAAACCTCTTCCGCAACCACAAATGTGAGCTGATATTTGCTTCACTCTATATTTTCCAAACGAAAATCCTTGAGTATAGCTGCCGTTAATCGATTTGACAATTTTCCTTCCATTTGATCGTAAACGATACTTGGAAGCAACAAACAACTGCACTCGAAGGTTTGCCCGCCATAATTTGTTTGATGCAAACCGGCATACTCTGGTGAAGCGGTGTGGCTGTTTTTTTCATTAACGAAAAAAAGTTGCTTCACCAAAACGTTCTCTGCTGACGTAAATACGAGTTCATATTTGCCGCACTCTATATCCTCCAAATGACAATCCAGTGTAGAAATTGCCTCGTTTTGCTCCGATTCTAGTGCGCGAGACATGTTAAATTCCGTGCTTCCTCGAGAGCGGAATCAAAACTAATAACTTTACAATGAGAGTTCGCCATCTTTCTCGTTGTCCAGTCAGCGAAATGTCAGAACGACGCTCAAATGACGCATTTTGACTGACAGCTGGAGCTTAACCGCACCAATGAGGAACTCCGTTCGTGGGCAAAAATAATTTTTTTCAAAATAAGAATGACTTCGGGCAGGCGTAATCTTCACTTCCCCACCCCTACCCTTCTCATTTTTTACCGACGACCGCCCCCTTGGTACAAATTTCTTTCTCTCCCCAGCCTTCCGCTGCCATTAAAATCAAAGATGACGGCTATAATTTTCGTTCTGGGAATACTGAGCACTTGCTCGCCAAAATTACGCTTGCTTTGCAGGCTAAATTTATTTAGAACACACGAAAAAAGCAGAAAGGGAGAACTGCCAGTAAAAGAATGAATCTAAGAATTCAAAGGCCACGCAAATTCAAAGTAGATGAGATGAATGCTCTAATATTAAATTGACTAAACGTTATAACTTTACTTCCCATACGTCAGTTGCCCTGATGGTAATCATGCAAGTAAGTTAGTGTTCAATCTCGGCGAAGTTTCATTTGCCAATTGCCAATTGTCAATGGTAGGCCGGAGTGTCCGTGATGGTAGATGCACTATTTAATTGGAGGTAAGCATCTACGTTTGCTTTGAACACTGTGGAGCTTTCAATCTATACAATTGTTAGACCCGTATAGCGCGCGCACGTTGAAATAAGCCAGGAATTTTATTTTGGACAATTAACACTTAGTTTAGACTTGATCTATTTTTCAGTGAAGTAACTATCAAAAGGCTGTAGTAATTGCTCTGAAATAGAAGGAGACCGGAGGACCATTTGGGAGAGTGGCACGCATTTCAATGTACTTGGAGGGACGTTGGTAAAGAGGAGGAAACTAAATCCGCCAAATTAAATGAACGGTGGGTGAACTTAATAAAGAGGACATTAACCTTGTCAAATTAAGAGACATCATGCGGACTCAAACTTCACGGGTTGTCAACCTGCTAGCAGACACCAAATCGAGAGCCAATGAAAAGGCATCCATGTGTGCAATTAAAGAATAAGACTTCAACTAATGGTAAGCTACTCCTTAAATTTATCATGGTTCATCCTAGGCAACAATCATGATCGATAACATCGAACGTATTTTTACTCTAAGAAAACTACTGCAAACCAATCCGCAACCGTTTTTTTCACCATCACTGGTCTTTCGCTTTAGCTGATTTGATCAATAAAAACACATTATTACTGTTTTTTTATAATATAAACGAGCTATCCCTACAGCCCTGCCCATTGCTTGTGCTTTATTTGGCTTCAATGTTTGACCCCGTCTTGCCATTTGAACAGGACCGAAAATGTTCTGTAATCCATGACCATTACCTTAGCTTTACCCAGATGTGGTAAAAAGCTGCTCGGCCACAGTAGCATCACTTGTAAAGCTAATTTCTTATTTCAGATGATATTGACCAAGCGTGTCTATGATTCTAATTTAACTTAACACCGGGGTCGCTAAACGAGACAGTTTTTCAATTCATTTTTCTTCAGATACTGAAGTAAACACAGAAATTAGGCTAGCAACAGTTCTATCTTTTGATAATTATTTTTAATTTATTCTTTCCCCTTTCCCCTTTCCCCTTTCCCCTTTCCCCTTTCCCCTTTCCCCTTTCCCCTTTCCCCTTTCCCCTTTCCCTTTCCCCTTTCCCCTTTCCCCTTTCCCCTTAACAAAAATAAGTTCAACTCAGGTGAATGCACTCCTTTTTATTTTAACACTTTAATTGGATTTACATTTCAACATTCCAAGTAACTGATCGAGAAATGTTTGAAGTACAGCTGTCCAACTCTGATCGAATGGCCAACTGTTGTATTACCCCAGTTTTTATTTTCGCTTAATTAGGTGCTCGCCGTTTTAGTGACTACATGTAAGATAAGAGAATAATCACATATCTTCTTCTTCTTCCTTTCGTTGACTTTGAATTGGATGTTTTCCTGCGGGGTGCCTATTACCGCCGGGTGTTGAGTGCTTGGCAGCATCTTTAGCTGTGTAAGGTTTTGGTATTCCTCTCGCTTGATCTGTAACAGGATCCTTTGCCTCGTCGTAGGTTCCTTTGCCAGGTGCTTTATGTTTACCAGCATCTCTGGACGTAATTGGTAGGAACCACACAACCTTCCGTTCATTGCGATATTTATTGTAGCAACCACACTCAATCCACAACTTTTTCCAATTGCATCCTTCCCACATCCAGTTGTGGTTATTGACGTATGCCATTTGTTTGATTTGACCTGTTGTTTGTTTTTCCGAATGGTAGCGAACGCACGTTTTTCCTCTGCAAGCACACTTGACGCCAATTACGTAATGACAATCGTTATCGTTATGGCAACCATCGTCAGCGAGAGTACATACGAATTCTGGATTTTCTTTCATTGGCTGTTTGTAGTCGAACTTTTGAATTTCAACATTACCACTTTTACTGTAGGGACAGCCATAATCCAAGTATCCACTGTAGTAGTACTGGAGGTTTGTTGCTCGGTGGTAATTCTTAGATCCTGATTCAAAGCGGCTTTGTAATATGCTCCAGATCGTCATCAAAGTATGCTGGACAGGCTTAGGTGCCTCATCAGCTTCATTCATAAGTTTGTTTATCAGTTCAGTCGACGTCTTTCCATTATTCAAAGCGCTATTTGTATCCCTTAGCCCTCCCCTGACAAATCTTGTCTCGCTAACAGTCATCTTGCTTGCCTGGGATATTTCACTGTTTGTCACATTAGAACAAGCCGAAAGACCAAGCTCCCCAACATCTGTGGGACCTGCGGCCGAGATACAGGCTCTCACCTGGAAATCTCTTTCGCTATACGATTCAGAGCTCTCTGCGAACACCATTTGCTGGAACCTTGATCCGGTCTCTTTAGACGTTATGACATGAGAGCCGTATTTCTCCAGGAAAGCGCTGTATGCTTTCCAAGAATTGTGGAGCCAGGGTTCTTTAATTTGCAGTGGCAATGCACTAAAGGATTCCATAAATTCTTTATTCAGGGTGGACATTTTGGCACTTGTGAGGCATTCTTTATTAACGTAAATCTTTTCTGCCAACGCCTGCTTGATCAAAGATATGCCACTCACTTCGCTTTTCTCTGAGCTTTTGCTCTTTGTTGCCACTGATACAGTGGCACCCAAAGTAAACGTAGAGGTTAAGGATGCGCTCAAGCTTGACTCGGTGGCCAGTGACTTATACAATGCGTTGGTATTTTTATAATAATCGAACTTGCTGCTTGACGACGTTAAGGTCTTCTTTGTAAAGCATTCTGGTGAAAGTGGATCAAAAATCCTATTCTCTTTTTCTGGAAAGTCGTCCAATAAGTTTACGCTCGGTAGGAATATTATTTTTGCAAGCTCCTCTAATTCACCTTTGGTAAATTTTTTCACTTCTTTGAGCTCGTTTGATTCACCTTTGGTAGCTATTCTCGCTTCAGAAAATGGGAGGGTCAACCAAAGCAACAGTGTTAGGGAGACAAACATGATTTCCAGCTGAAAAGCGTCTTTATGCTTGGGCGAAGGCACAAAATCTGCGATACAAAGACAAGTTTAAATTAACTCAACAAAATTACGTGGCTCGATGGTGAGCGGCTACTAATATGGTAGTTTAAAAAAGTCCTTCAAAGTTATGTTTTAAAACTTTCCAGAACTCCGTTTCTACGGTTTATTGGAAAAAGTTGAAATTCCTCTTGGCCATCGTCCTAGGGAGTAATTTTAATAGATGACCTCTCTGTTTTAGGCAGTCCATAACATATGCGATCAACCGTTACAGTCCTCAAAGTGATAACAATTTAGATGGGGTTTAAATGATTAAAATCCTTATGCAAACCGTTTTAGTTTACGTATCTAAATAATCCAATAAAGATCCAAAAAGACTCTTGAAAAATCGTCGAGGTCCAACTTTCTCTCAACTGTGTTTGTTTGTTAATCTGGGTAACACCAATTTCAAAATGTAACGTTTAAACAAAGAAAAAAATACAGAGGCAATGGTACCAGGAGTATTGGAATCTAAGAGAATACTTAAACACCTTTTGAATTGAAAAGGACCCATGGCTGAAAACGTCATTCAGAGCGATAAACGTTTTAGTCAAAACGATTCACGAACGTTTCAAGAAAAAACTTTACTTTTTTTTTTATTGGTGGCATCACGTCAATTGGAAAAGTTTGATCAAGTCAGACACGCAAAGTAGAGCAAAACAACGAGAACCTAATTATTGAAAAGTAAAAGAATATACTTAAACAAGTTTTGAATCGGGGAGAATAAGAGCGCGATTGAGGGCTTAATATTATTCAAGGAAAAAATAATTATCACTGGTAATTGATGTGGTCCTCAAGATAGTACGACTTTAAACCTTTTTGAAAAAATCAATATTTTTCTTGCTGCAAAATCCCAAAAATAAAAGAAAAGAGTGTCGTACGCCGGAGTATCGAATCATTTAATTGGACGTGACAATTGATTTATTTGTCGATTCTGGGACTGATGTGCATGCCGATTGTCTATTATATTTCGAATGCTTTATAAAATTCTCCTAGTTGACTGAATTTTCTAATGAACCTATCAATTTAAGCCAACAACACTTTTATGATAATCACTTTCGTGGTGAAGCTCCTTCAACAAGTCTCCTGCCAGAATCGACTTTACATGTTACAACAGAATAACCTCCCAATTTTTATAATATTGACACTTAGTATACTGGGTTGTAAAGATAATAATGATTTTATCTTTGTAGTTTACTTTAAGTTGTCTCATGCTGTTAGGGAAAAGAAACTGCACCTTTCGCCCGTGAAGAAAAGCTTTTAAAAGTCTTTACTTTCTATTTTTATCATTTTTGTAGTGTATCGGATTTGTCTATTATAGCACAGGATAGAAATTGATAATATACTTGGAACGCCCTCAGCTTATTGGGTAAAACAATGGAAGATAGAAGCCTATTAACACTAAAAGTAAGCTACATTTAGAAAAAGTTTTTCTTGTACTAACCGACTGATGTAGATTCTCTTTGATGTCTCGTAATATGATGCAAATTGAAATGAAGATACGAATTTGCCCTCTGATGAATTCTTATCTCATTAGTAGACTGACACGTGGTTTATTTTGTGTGAACAATTGATAGGTTATTTTCAAGAATGTTCTTCAGTTTTTACGTTCTATTGGAGAAAACTTGAAATTCCACCAGGGCAGAAGACCTTTTTAGTAATTTTTGCATGTGACCCCTCTGCACCAGCCGGTCCATAAAACTTGGAATCAATTGTTGCGATTCAAGCTGCACTCAACAACTTTTGGTTAAGTTTGAATAATTAACTGACTGCGAAGGATTTATAGCAAATATTTCTTGCCTCAATACAAGCTTAGGATTTTTAAAGAAAAAACAAGGACTCAGAAAATGTAGAAAAGTATAACTGTCAGTGTAAAAACTGCGACAAAAATACGCTAACTCCCCGATGGGGGGGTTAATATTTTTTAAGGAGAATTTCACTATTCACGGTGATTGATGTGGTCGTCAAAACAGTAAAGTACGACTTTCAATATACCTGAAAAATCAATATTTTTTGCTGCAAAATCCCAAAAATAAGAAGAAGAGGGTCGAACGCCAGAGCATCGAATAATTTAATTTGAAGTGAAGAATGGATTATTTGTCGATACAGGAACTGATGTGTATGCCGATTTTCTATTACATTTCAAACACTTTATAAAATTCTCCCAGTTGATTAAATCCTCCATTGCCCTTATTGATTTGAGTCAACAAGACTTTTAAGATAAACGATTGCGGCCTAACCCTAAGCAACAAGTCTACTGAATTTTTACGACTTATTAGAGAAAGCTCGATATTCCACCAGGGCATACATCAGTCCTTGCTAGTAATTTTTACTGGTGACCCCTCTGTGGTAGCCGGTCCATAACACATGGGATCAATTGTTACGACTCAAGCGGCACTCAACGACCTCAACAACCGTTCCGGTAAAGTTTAAATAATTAACAGACGGCGAAGGATTCATAGCAAATAGATTTTGCTTAAATGCAAGTTAAGGACTTTTAATTCATTAAACCTTTCAAAGTGTTTTAGAGAGAAAACTAGGACAGTCTGTGTTAAACTGCAACAAAAATACACTAAAATCCACACTCTCTCGACGAAGTAATCGCATGGGCTGAGTAAACTTTACACAAATATCACTTGTGTTTTCCAAAATTGAAGAAATTGCCCGAGTCGCGCAGGATAATTTAAGATATGTTTCCTTAAGTTTACGAGAAAACATGCCATTTCTTGTTTACAATATTAAGGGCAAAACTTTCTTTCACCAGGAAGGTCAAAAACGCACGCTGTTGCGCACAATTGCCTGTAGAACGCACGAATCAGCTGAATGAAATTTAATTTTGTACCACGACGCTAAAGCAATGAAACCAGCCCAGCTAAAAGATATTCCCCGTCGATGAAATTATAATACTTATAGGCAAAGTTAAGCCTTTCTGAATGTTTTCAATTTTAAGGAGTGTACGAATGTACAAACCAATTTCAACAGAAGAAATATTCCAAAACAAAATAAGGCTCGGTTTTCTTAGGCCCTTAAATGCTTTCAGCCATTTCCAGGTTAAAAGGATCTAAATAGAGGAAGGAAAATCCATTCTGGATCTTACTTAGGCTCGAGCGTGTCTTAAGAGACGACAAATCCTCCTAGCAATTATTCTATTTTTCATTTATTTTGCTTTTATGGCCTCTTTTACGAAACATTTAATTCGGCAAACCTGGATGAGACTTCAGTCAATACCCTTTAGATCAATCTTAATCGATACTACATTTTTAGGGTAGTTGTTCCTATCTTTCTCTCTCATTCCCGGGAAAAAGCTTTTCAGTACGATCTCTACGCAAACAGGGCGAGGTGGCTATCAAAGGTAGAGAAATGTACCCATTTAATCCTTTATTCAAACACAATCAGACACATGCATAGTTCTAACTTTAAGCGTGAAAAATTTCAACGATTACGTAAGCTATCTAAGTGCGCCAAAATTGAAGTTTCATTCGTTTTCATTTCTATTTTCCAGCGGTGTACTTTGGAGGCATTAATCTTCTGCCTTTCTTGTCAGCGGATTTGGTTGATGCTTTATGTGTAGTGGTATCTCTGTTTGGCAAGGACAACACAGTTTTCCGCTGATCACGATTTTCATTATAGCACTTGCACCAAGATTCCGCGAGTTTCCAATCGCAACCATGCCACCCCCAATCTTCAAATGTATTTGGGTATGCAGTTACCTTAGTGTCACCTGCACCTTGTTTCACTGACTTGTAATGGACACATGTTGGACCACGACAGGAGCACCACATGGGTTTGTAGTCACAGTCATCGTCGGTGTGGCAGCCCTCTTTTGCCAGGGTACACTCGAATTCTGGATACTCCTTGCTGAAGCTACTGGTATGGTCAAACTTTTGTGCGGCAAGTCCTGAGCTACTTATGAAGGGACAACATTTCAACCATTCAAGGAACCAAGGTAGATGGTCCAGATCGCCATGAACGGTGTGCTGAACAGATGCTGGAAATTCATCTGCTTCATTTATGAGTTGGCCAAGCAATTCAACCGACGTCGCCCCGTTTGCCAGCTTGCTATTTGTTTCCCTTTTTCCACCTTTGACAAAGCGTTTCTTGCTTGTTCTCATCTTGCTCGCTTTGGATATCTCACTTTGGCTTACGTTTGAGCATGCAGAGACGCCAACCTTTCCAACCTGGGTAGGTCCTGCGACCGAAATGCAAGCTTTTACGTGGAAATCTCTTTCAGTGTTAGCCTTAGAGCTCTCTGCGAATGTCATTTGCTGAAATCTTGATCCGCGCTTCACAGACGTTATGGCATGAGAGCCGTATTCCTTAAGAAAATTACGGTACTCTCTCCATGAGTTTGGTTCCCAGGGATTTTGGGTGTTTACGGGTAAGTCCTCCAGATCACTCAGAAATGTTTCCTTCAAGCTGGTGATGTCATCCAGAAGGCATTCTTTATTGACATAGACCTTTTCTGTTAACGCCTGCTTGATTAAAGACATGCCACTCACTTCTGTGCTCTGTGAACTTTTGCTGTTTTTTGCTACTGATACCGTAACACCCAACGAGTAGGCGGACTGTAAAGAGGCGCTCAAGCTTGACTGGGTGGCAAGTGATGTATAAAATTCCTTGGTATTTGCATAATATTCGAAGTGGCTGCTTGAAGACTTTAAAGTTTTCTTTACGAGACATTTCGGGGGGAACTCCTTAAAGATCCTGTTCTCTTTCTCCTGGAAGTCGTCCAGTAAGTTGACCTTTCGAAGATCTATCACTTTTCCCAGCCCAGAATTCTCGGCTATTGTAGCCTCACATGTTTCTTTTAAATGTGCATAACACAAAAACAAGAAGTACCAAAGGGACATGCATTATTCAGCTTTTCGAATTACAATCGGCGGGAAAAAAATGCATAATAACTATGGAAAGTGGCCACAGAACGGGACCAAAACGTATGTAACATGAGGCGATTAAGGAAGTGTTTTAGTGGATACATAAAATTTCAGTTAAACCGTTTTTTTTTGGCACAAACGAAAAATAAATAATAAGCTAGCATTTTTAAGCTGTTAGTAAGATATCGGTGATCATTTCCCCGTAACAAAGACCTTTCGGAAGTGACTTCGAATCAGTGGTAGGTTAAAGGTACAAATGTATGTCAAATTTGTTTGTGTTACATGAAAGACGTCCTCTAAATTGGGTATTGAATGACTTGTAATGAGTTTCAACCTGTGCTTATCACCTCGAAAAGCTCAACAACGCTCTGTGCTAAGACTGAGGCAGACTCATCAGATAGAACTGTATTGGACGAAGGGCGTTCCCTATTAAAGACTAAATGATGATCATTCTTATAATAATTGAAATAACGCAAGGGCATCCAAAACAAAAACACACCCTCGTGTGTCAGTTAAGTTGTATTGTAGCACTGCTTGGACTTCTCGTAAGTTCTTGTCAACGAACCGGTAGTTTAAAAACGATAGCTTTTTCAAAGGTTTTAAATTTTAGAAACTGTTTCTTGAATGAAGGGGCCTACGACGAACGTTGACTTAAGCCTCTATATTTCACTCCAAGCTTTAAATGATTCTGTAATTTAATGACGAATGTTTCTTTACTTACCACTTCAAGTAATTTTTGAGCTTTACAATGAAGCACTCTTTCGAGTTTATTTATAAGTTGCCTCCTTTTCAGTGGCGTTTACTATAAATTTGCTTTTGTCTATTTTAAAGTTTGCACGTTTGGTTCAAATTCATTGGCTTGAAGTCAAACATCATATTTTTAACTGGTTTGAATTCCAGCTTTTAAATTTCCAACTGAATAAGACTGGATTCGAAATATCTTTAAACAGGAAGCTTGTTTGTGAATTTCCACTCAAAGAACCTTTTGAATTGTAAACGGAACTGTTTACAACACGTCAGTCTGGTCAGTTCTTTAAGTACCAAGATTCTCTTTATAAAGGGTGCACCCTTAAAAACCGTCAACATTGTAGATGAATTTCCTTGAGAAATAATGAGACCTGGAACGAACAGTCTGTATGTTGACTCTGAACCGACAGGCAGTTCCGAAGCCCACCCTTGCAATCTCAAATAATCCTTTGTTTTTGAACCCCATATCCGACCAAGTGACTTTCTTTAACCATATTGCGGGCCTCAATTTGGTTACGACGCTCAGTACTATATGCCTTTAAGTAGAATGTCCATCAGTTGTAACACTGCTACTGTTGCACTTAGATCTCTTAGTAAAGTAACATGTTTTTCCTAAATAGCCTTTGGGATTTGGGGTGTACTTTTCAAATCCGAAATTTTCAAATTTTATGCCTATTTACTTAGTAACCTGAGGCTTGTATTCGGCAAAACAACCAATATCAACAACAAGTGAAACTTAGTTACTTTAAAGTATGGCAGCATGATTTAGTTTATTTTTAGGATCTCTCATGTAGCGTTGCTATCTACCCACCCTATGGGGTCGAATCTTCCAGTTCTTCCTGTTAGAATGTTAGAATCTGTAATTTGTGGTTGATATGATATATGTTTGGCTTTAAAAGATGGAACCAAGCTTAATTTAGGAGTCATAGGTCACATAATAGTTGCATGTAGGCAATTCAGAGGTTAAAAGGTTTAATGTTCCACCAGTTTATCAACACATATGAGTAAGTTCTGTAGTGCTACCGTGGCCTGCGTTATACTCTGTTAGTCTTCAAAGTGGACTTTTAATTGATATGTGCCAAAAGCGTTCCTAACTTAGTAACCTGATGATTAAATGATTTAAGGAAAGAGAACAGGTACGCACCTGTAAGGTCAACTTATTACCAATTTGACCAATTTTACCATATCGAACCTATTCGAGGAAACTTTTAGCTTAAGTAGAAAATAAATCTAAGTTAGAGAAAAATATACCCTCCCCTGTTTTGGTGACGGGGAATCTTATTCGTCTATGCTTATTACGAGGATTATAATGATGATTGTCCCAAAGATGATGATGATACTAATAATGATAACAAGGATTATAAAAATAAGAATGATAATATAAGTTTTATCTAAACTTGAAGACCGATTAGCGGATCCATATTGGCAAAGGTTGGAATGGACCTTTTACTCAGAACATAAACTAATTACTATCAAAATGTGAAGAAAAAAGTGGGAAGAAAACTTGAATGAGGGAAAATCTACCTGCCACATTAATGTTGATTTTTATTTAAGTCAATAAAGAGATTAAATTTTTACGTTCGTTAAAGATACAAAGGTATCACTATTACAGGGCTAAGGCTCTTACGTGAGGCCACTCCTTTCCTTTCCAGTGCCGTGTTGGAATATGGCCCGAGGCAGTTTTGGTGCTCCAGAGATGAAGTTATGGTACTTCTCTGTCAGATCCTTACTACGGAGTTTGTTACAAAAAAAATCCCTGTGATAACGTGCGAAAATAATTATCGTTCGCTAATCTCTAAACCAACTGCAGACGCATTAAACGTGGCCAGTTAAATGGAGTTAGAAAGGTTCGAGGTCCTCTCTCAAAAAATGTTTGCCAGTTAAGTGTTTTTTTTTTTTCGCTGTCAGCTTTCAATCCCGACTTAGCGATGATTTTTCCCCCTTGTGGAATATATATATTCATCAGTAATGGGAGTGCTAGTATTATAACTTGTCATGCAACGACTCAAACCACTTGAAACAGCAAAAATATTTTTCGCATAATTTATTTGGTGCAATTGTGCAAGATTAGTTTTTAAAATACGCATTGCCAATTTTAAAGAATCCTTTCAGTCCACAAACTGAGACAGCTTAATGAAGCTGAAGAGTGATAAAGAGTAACAGTATTACAGATAAACACCTAAATATACCAAAGCCGGGATTCGTTTTAGAAAGTTTCGCATATTCTTTCCAATACACCGAAGTATCTGTAATGTTTCGATTTAGTGGGTTGCGTGTTGCTTTTACAAATCACAAACAAAGCTTAATTTAGGTGTGACAGGTGAAAGAGAGAATAAGATGTATGGAGCTGATAGGTTAAAATGTTTAATGGTGAAAACAAGCCTACACCAGTTCATCATTCTCTTTCACCGGGAAACCATAATGAGTTTATTTAAGACTACAGAATTACGAAAAAAAGCCGACATTTATGTTACACAGCTCAACGCGAGAATCATATTATAACATATGATACTTAGTCGAAAAATAGCCGAGTCTAGAACGAATATTAAATTATTTCTTTCGACGGATCGATTGATGTATTTAGTCAATGCTGGATCCTTCAAAAAACTAAATAATAACCATTTCAGTTTCAAAATTATTTATAATCTTCATTAAAACAGTTGGCCGTATTTAAATGAGCTTTGTCTTCGAAAATTTCGAGTTTTCCTTTACTTTACTTTTTTTTTCTTTGACGGATTTCTGAGGAAGTTTCAAATTTTTTCCATTGTAAGTGTGACACCAGTTGTTTCTTTTGTTTTAATTTAATATTTTTAACCACTATAAATAACCACAAACCTTTTTACGACATTAACTTAAAATTGCTTTAAGATATTCAGTCCTTAATTTCAATCTGCATCGATGCAATCAAATTTAAACGATTGACAATTCACCGTTATGTTTCTGCTTACAATATATCTCATTGTTACGATTTTTCAGCACTCCCTTCCTCTTTAATCAGCCCTTGATGCTTAGCTTTGTGATGGTCGCTATGATGAATAAGGAGTTTGTCTGATGCGACATCTCTGCTGGGCAAAGACCACACGACCCTCCTCACATGTCTATCATAGTTATAGCAAGCACAATAAGACGCCCAGACTCTCCAATCACAACCGTGCCATCCCATATCACCCCAGGAACCGATGTTTGGAGTTGCTTTTACTTTTGACACACCTGTATCTTGTTTCTCTTTCACGTAGCGAACACACGTCTCGCCACGACACGCACACCAAACCGGTCTGTAGTGGCAGTCATTGTCACTGTGACAACCTCCTCTAGCCAATGAACACTCGAATTCCGGATAGTTGTCGGAAGTACGTTTTGTGTAGTCGAATTTCTGAAAGGCAAGTCCTCTTCTTTCTTGATAATGACAACCATAGTTCAAGTATCCGAGATAGTAGTACTGAAGGTTTAAGGCTCTGACGTAGTTTGGTGAACCTGAGGTAAAACGGCTCTGTAAGATTTGCCACACCGCTCTAAAGGTGTGCTGAACAGACGAATGGGTTTCACTAGCTTCATTCATAAGTCTCTCGATAAGTTCCTTCGACATGTCGTGTAACAGCTTATTACGAGTGGCGCTGCTTCCCCCTCGAACGATCCGCTTATCAGTGGTGCTCATCTGGTACGCTTTATACGACTCGCTTTTGGTGACATTGGTGCATGCAGACACACCAATATTTCCAGCGGATATAGTTCCAGCTAAGGAAACGCAGGCTTTGACCTGTAGCTCTCTTTCACTGTAGCTTTTTGAACTTCGTGTAAATGACATCTGTTTGATCCTTGATCCACGCAAAACGGAAGTAACAACGTGGGAGCCGTACTCTTCTAGGAAATCATGGTAGGACCGCCATGAATTTTGCAACCAGGGCCGATTTATTTTCAACGGAAGTCGCTCTAGGTCAGCAATAAAGCTCTTCTTAAAGTTGTGGTTGTCATCGTTTAAACAGTCTTTGCTTAGGCGAAGCTTTTTAACTAATGCTTCGACTACTAGAGAGATGCCGCTCAAATTCGATTCTTTTGAATTTGTTCTCTTTGTTACACTATTCAGTGTAACTCCCAGGGAATAAGTCGATTCCAGCGAGACATCCAAGCCTGTTGATGTGGCCAACTTTGAGTAAAACGCCTTGGTACTTTCATAATAATTGTAATAACTTTTGGAGATGTTAAGCTTTTCTTTTTTGAAGCATTCTTCAGGGAAAGGCTCAAAAATACTTGCTTCGCGTTCCTTGAAATCTTCTAATATGTTGGTCTTGTGAAGGTTTAACGCTTTTCCAAGCTCTGCTGTTTCCTTTGTGGCTTCGGTTCGTTTGTTTCCTTTAACTTCTTGGGCAGAAGAAATGGCTGTCAGGTACATAACCATTATAATAAGGAGAAACATGGCTGCAGTTTTCACTCGAAAAAATGTTATCAGAGTTAGTTCAATCTGCAAAGGAAGATTAGCACAGTTGAGGCTTAGAAATCTAGAAACTAGAGTAATCTACCTATATGCTGAATAATAGACGTGGACCAGACTGTTGAGAAAATTGTCGACTGTGAAATTGTATTCATATATCATGTTTGAAACTGGTATCACCTCCAATCAACACCGCGATGAAGTTACACCACCAACCAACGTTCTCTTGATAAACTACTGTTACCTATGGAGACTCCTCCTTATCATCTTTCCCTAGCGTAACGTGTGCTAAGTTAATATAGTGCAACGTAACGTAAATCTCTCAGAGCAGCTAAGTAGTCTTCAGTTTCTGTTGCAGTAGCGAATCTGCATGCATACTTACATACACATTATGGGGTCTCCCTCTACAGTAATTACAATCATAATTTATAATCATAATTAATAACGAAAAGCCAATGGTGTCTAATCATTAGATATACTGTTACATAATATTTTCTTAAAGTTCTTGATATCTCTAATGCTCTGAAGATCCTTCAGAATTTGATCAGACCTAAGTTAATTAAGTTTCGCACATTTCTGTATAGCGAGTTTTAATCGCTTTTACCTAGTCATCTTTTCTTGAGTGGTGTAATGAAGCACTCCTTCTACTTTTTTTGTCATTATTTTTCTTTCTTTCTTTTGTTCATGTGGTGTAGTAAATAGTTTTACAGTATGTACTCCCTGGGTTTCAGAGAATTTCCTTTTTCTAATTTTAAGATCGCATTTTTTTTTCCAATTTAGTGGCCCTAAGACGAAAATTCCATTTTTAACTAGTTTTCGAGATATCTTTAAACGGGAAGCTTGTCTCTGAATTTTCACTCAAAGGCGTTAACGAATAATTAAGCAAAAGCGTTGAGTACACGCCAATTTGATCAGATCATTTTACCAAGATTCTCTTGAGAAAGATTGCACCCTTACAAGCCGTCAAAATTGTGGATGAATATCTTTCAAAAATAATGATACTCAAACGAACAGTTTGCATGACTTTGAACATGTTATCTGCTTTGAAATGGCCTGTTGGTCATTTCAAAACCGAGGGTTATTTAGCCTATGAACTCTTTTTGCGGTAGCCAATTTACCTTTTCAACTCAGTTGATAAAACTAAATTAGCCCCTAGTTTCAAAACCCACTCTGAGAATTTCAGAGGCTAATTAAAATAACACGAAAAGAACACGAATTCGTAGAAAGTGACCAAACCGAACAGAACTACCTAGTATTGCCGACGAACCAAAACTGACCAATCACGACCGACCTAAACGACTTGAGTATCATTGCCAATAACAAACTGACCAATCAGCTTACATGAACCGGACTTTAAACGCTCGACTGATAACAGCTTCTCACTTAATTCTGATGATTACTACCGCCTGTGACTATTGCCGACAACTTTGTAGCCCTTCTCAAGACTTCCCTCAGCCGGAAGTTTAAACCACACGATGAATCAGCATTTTCTGCGCCGATCGCCATTTGTCAATGGTCACCTTGTTTAAGTACCCTTCTTGTCCTCTTATTTTGGCAAGATACCAAATATTACGAGTGTTTTCACTTAAGTTAAAAGGTCTCGTTCTTATGGAAAAAAAAACTTTGTTTTTTATCTCCCGTAGCCGACCACATTCTTTGACCCTGCTATAGGCGTCAAATAGGACAGGGACTCTTTCATTTAAAAATGCCTGAAAGTTGAATATCGATTCATCAATAGTAACACAGTAAGAATTTCAACTTGGAATGAAACTAATGAAACCTCTTAAAACAAAAAAAGTGTTTTGTGATAAACCTTTTGGATTCACGCATGTATTTGTTAAAAGCGAGTTTTTATTGTTCGCACTCCCAATTTGAAGTACTAAAAATTTTTTATGTTTTCTATAAGAAATTATTCTATACACGGAAACTAAATTTTCTTGATCGTGTTCGTTTTTATTCAAGGGGCAACGTGAGATTTTTTACTTCAGGCAAACATTTTTATGTTGTAAATCTAAAAAAAAATCGACAATTAAATTAGGTAGAGGAGTAGTTCTTAACTATTATAAAAGTGCCTTTGGGTAACTTTCCTACCTACGTACCTTTTGGTGTCTTCCAATGCACTATCCCGTGATCTCTATAATGAGTCGATGTGAAGAGATACATTTGTCTTGTAAAGGATAAAGTGTACCTTAATTTAGGAGTCAGAGCTCATGGGATTATTTGCATGTAGGTGGCTGATTGGTTAAAAGGTGCAATGGTGACAACAGAACTCCACCAGTTCATGGTACTCTATGAGTTAGTTTTGCTGGTATCCCCCTGCTTCGTGCACTTTTCAGTCTTCAAGCTGTCCAAAATGTGGTTTAAATTGATATCTGACAAAAGCATACGTGACTGACGGAATTAATAATTAAATGACCGCGAAGAAATCCGTATTTGTTAACGTGATGGATTTCACCAGAAAGCGTTTAGTTCCACTAATTTCACCAATCAAGAATTCGACAGATCGGGAAAATCTAAACCGGCTATTTTGGGCAAGAAGCCGTGTTTTAATTTCATGTAACTTGACTGTAAAATTATGACCTGTTTTACAAAATAGTCCATTTAACATTCTGTTAATAATTGAAGTACAGTCTAACCTTTCTATAGCGGCCACCTTGAACGGAGGAAAATGGCCATTGTAGAGAGGTGGCCTTTAGAGGGAAGTAATGCGGGTAGGAAATTGTTCTTTCCAAAAACGCTTTTTCTGGAACGTGAATCCGTACCATCATGAAAATAAATTTATAAAAGGAAACAGGAAAGATCAAGCTAGGTAGTGTAGACCATTGTGAACAATCTATTAACTACAAATACGCAACATAATTAAGAATTTATCTATGAACTAGAAAACAAAATATGATGCTCCAAGACAAACAACAACAAAAACGTGTGCAAAACGATAGGAGTAATATACAGTGAGTCCTTAAGTCTGTTCTACGTCCACTTTTATTATTGCAAACTACATTGGTTTTCTTTTCGGTTGAATTAATCTATGAAATGCCGCCTGCTTGTTTGATTAGTCACCTATTTCGCTACATCGTTCGTCCGCGAGTCGAATCATAACTGGTTGTTGTAGACAGGGTGTTTTTGGCTCGTTTTCAGATGTCAAATAAAAACCAATAGGAAATTTTTTATGGAGCATGTCTATTTCCATCAGTTGCTTTTAGTTCCTCTGTTATGTTAACCAAAAAATTTTTCCCCCGAATAGTTCATTTCTAAATGAACTTTGTGATGCAGGTATGACATCACCGTGTTTCTTTTCGATAAGATGGAATTTTACAACCTAATTGTTATCACATTATATTCACAGGTACTGCTGATACTGTTTTACCTGTATAAAGAAATTTACGATGTTTATGCTTCACCAGTAATTCTTGTTAAACAGTTGTATTCTTTACCTATTCCTGTCGTAGTTTAATTATATAAGTTCTTGAGACCTTTTTTTGTTTGTCAGTATCTAACCAGATCCAAAATGAATTTCCTTTCTTCTTTTAGATCCTTTGTTATTATGTTATTAGTAACGATGTGCCACGTAAATAATAAGACTTTTAACGGTATATTCAGCGTTCGTCACGGCCTGCTTTTTCGGTCAACTACTGTTGTCAGTTCACAATTACCACTCAAACTTTCTTTACACATTAGTCTTAGCATCTTTCCTTTTTGTGCCGCACTGGGTAAAAATCGTTAATAGACGCCCGATTATTTCATAGATCGCAATCACTAAACAAGAAGATAAGAAAAAGAAAAAACTAATAATCAACTAAATTGCTGCGAGCTTATGACCTCGAAAATAAACTGAAAGGGAGGAATGAAAAGAATGAATTTGTAGAAGTAATCGCATGGGCTGAGTAAACTTTACACAAATAATACTTGAGTTTTCCGAAGTTGAGGAAATTGCCCGAGTCCCGCAGGATAATTTAAGATATATTTCCTTACGTTTACGAGGAAACATGCGACTTATTGTTTACAATATTAAGGGCAAAATTTTCTTTCACTAGGAAGGTCAAAAACGCACGCTATTGCACAATTTCGTGGGAAGCCATTTCAGTGTTCCGTTAGCATGAATTGACTGTAGATCGCACGAATCAGCTGAATGAAATTTTAATTTTGTACCACGACGCTAAAGCAATGAAACCAGCCCTGCTAAAAGATATTCCCCGTCGATGAAATTATAATACTTATAGGCAAAGTTCAGCCTTTCTGAATGTTTTACAAACCAATTTTAACTGAAGAAAAATTTCAAAACAAAATAAGGCTCGGTTTTCTTGGGCCCTTAAGTGCTTTCAGCAATTTCCAGGTTGAAAGGATCCAAATAGAAGATGGAAAATCCATTCTGGATCTAACTTAGGCTTTATGGTCTCTTTTACGAAACATTCAATTCGGCTAACCTGGATGAGACTTTAGATCAATCTTAATCGATATTACATTCTAAGAGTAGTTGTTTTTGTCTTTCTCTCTCATTCCCGGGAAAAAGCTTTTCAGTACGATCTCTACACAAACAGGGCGAGGTTGCTATCAAAGGTAGTGACATGTACCCATTTAATCCTTTATTCAAACACAATGAGACACAAGCATAGTCCTAACTTAAGCGTGAAAAATTTCAACGATTACGTAATTTATCTAAGTGCACCAAAATTAAAGTTTCATTCGTTTTCATTTCTATTTTCCAGCGGTGTACTTTGGAGACATTAATCTTCTGCCTTTCTTGTCAGCAGATTTGGTTGATGCTTTATGTGTAGGGGCATCTCTGTTTGGCAAGGACCACACAGTTTTCCGCTGATCACGATTTTCATTATAGCACTTGCACCAAGATCCCGCAAGTTTCCAATCGCAACCACGCCACCCCCAATCTTCAAATGTGTTTGGGTATGCAGTTACCTTACTTTCACCTGCACCTTGTTTCACTGACTTGTAATGGACACATGTTGGACCACGACAGGAGCACCAAATGGGTCTGTAGTGACAGTCATCGTCACTGTGGCAGCCCTCTTTTGCCAGGGTACACTCGAATTCTGGATACTTCTCTCTGGAGCTACTGGTATGGTCAAACTTTTGTACGGCAAGTCCAGAGCTACTTATGTATGGACAACCATAATTCAAGAACCCAAGATAGTAGTACTCAAGGTTTGTGGCTCGGATATTGTTAGGAGACCCCTGTTTAAATCGGCTCTGTAGGATGGTCCAGATCGCCATGAAGGTGTGCTGAACAGACGCGGGCAATTCATCTGCTTCATTCATTAGTTGGCCAAGCAATTCAACCGACGTCGCCCCGTTTGCCAGCTTGCTATTTGTTTCCCTTTTTCCACCTTTGACAAAGCGTTTCTCGCTTGTGCTCATCCTGCTCGCTTTGGATATCTCACTTTGGCTCACGTTTGAACATGCAGAGACGCCAACCTTTCCAACCTGGGAAGGTCCTGCGACCGAAACGCAAGCTTTTACTTGGAAATCTCTTTCAGTGTAAGCCTTCGAGCTCTCTGCGAATGTCATCTGCTGAAATCTTGATCCGCGCTTCACAGATGTTATGGCATGAGAGCCGTATTCCTTAAGAAAATTACGATACTCTCTCCATGAGTTTGGTTCCCAAGGATTTTGGATGTTTACGGGCAAGTCCTCCAGGTCACTCAGGAATGTTTTCTTCAAGCTGGTGATGTCATTCAGAAGACATTCTTTATCGACATAGACCTTTTCTGTTAACGCCTGCTTGATTAAAGACATGCCACTCACTTCCGTGTTCTGTGAACTCTTGCTCTTTGTTGCTACTGATACCGTAACACCCAACGAGTAGGCGGACTGCAAAGAGGCGCTCAAGCTTGACTGGGTGGCAAGTGATTTATAAAATTCCTTGGTATTTGCGTAATATTCGAAGTGGCTGCTTGAAGACTTCAAAGTTTTCTTTACGAGACATTTCGGGGGGAACTCCTCAAAGATCCTGTTCTCTTGCTCCTGGAAGTCGGCCAGTAAGTTGACTTTTCGAATATCTATTACTTTTCCCAGCCCAGGATTCTCGGCTACTGTAGCCTCACATGTTTCTTTAAATGTGTATAACACAAAAACAAGAAGCACCAAAGAGACATGCATTATTCGGCTTTTCGAAGTACAATCTGCGGGGAAAAAATGCATAATAACTATGGAAAGTGGCCACAGAACGGGACCAAAACGTGTTTAATATGAGGCGATTAAGCAATTGTTTTAATGAAAACAGAAAACTTCAGTTAAACCTTTTGTTTTGACACAAATGAAAAACAAATAATAAGCTAGCATTTTTAAGCTGTTAGTTAGATATCGGTGATTATTTCCCCGTAACAAAGACCCCCCGGAAGTGACTTCGAATCAGTGGTAAGTTAAAGGTACAACTTAAAAGATATGTCGAATTTGTTTGTGTTACATGAAAGACGTCCTCCAATTTGGGTATTGAATGTCTTGTAATGAGTTTCAACCTGTTCTTATCACCTCGAAAAGCTCAACAACGCTCTGTGCTAAAACTAAGGCAGACTCATCAGATAGAACTATATTCGACGAAGGGCGTTTCCTATTAAAGACTAAATGATGATTATTCTTATAATAGTTGAAATAACACAAGGGCATCCAAAACAAAAACACACCCTCATGTTTCAGTTACGTTGTATTGTAGCACTGCTTGGACTTCTCGTAAGTTCTTGTCAACGAACTGGTAGTTTAAAAACGATAACTTTTTCAAAGGTTTTAAATTTTAGAAACTGTTTCTTAAATGAAGGGGCTTACGACGAACGTTGACTTAAGCCTCTATATTTCACTCCAAGCTTTAGATGATTCTGTAATTTAATAACGAATGTTTCTTTACTTACCACTTGAAGTAATTTTTGGGCTTTACAATGAAGCATTCTTTCGAGTTTATTTATCAGTTGCCTTCTTTTCAGTGGCGTTATCTATATATTTGCTTCTGTCTATTTTAAAGTTTGCGCGTTTGGTTCAAATTCGGTGACTTGAAGTCAAACATCCCATTTTTAACTGGTTTGAATTCCAGCTTTTAAATTTCCAACTGAATAAGACTGGATTCGAAACATCTTTAAACAGGAAGCCTGTTTGTGAATTTCCACTCAAAGAACCTTTTGAATAGTAAACGGAGCTGTTTACAACACGTCAGTCTGATCAGTTCTTTAAATACCAAAATTCTCTTTATAAAGGGTGCACCCTTAAAAACCGTCAGCATTGTAGATGAATTTCTTTGAGAAATATTGAGACCTGGAACGAACAGTTTGTATGTTGACTCTGAACCGACAGGCAGTTCCGAAGCCCACCCTTGCAATCTCAAATAATCCTTTGTTTTTGAACCCCATATCCAACCATATTGCGGGCTTCAATTTGGTTACGACGCTCAGTACTATATGCCCTTAAGTAGAATATCCATCAGTTGTAACACTGTTAGTATTGCAACCACTAAGATCTCTCAGTAGAGCAAGATGTTTTTCCTAAATAGCCTTTTGGACTTGAGATGTGCTTTTTAATTTTCAAATTGTATGCCTATTTACACCACTAACACCCCCTGATGTCTTCTACAAAGAAATAATTCACAAGCACTGAACAAAATGCTGTAATTTTACAGAAGAAACTAAAATCAAGATGTTTGAATCCAGCTTGTCGTCTTCGTCTCCAGTATCCTGTTTACAAGTGGCTAAGTGAGATTTGGTACTTTTGTCGAATATTTTAAAGTTCAAAAGAGGAGATTACTTAAAAACTGTAAAGTGTGTTTTATAAATTAACTTTATGAGTTGTTCTAAATTGCAGGATCAAAGATGAATTCCCAGATTATCTCAAGAGGATTTCCTGTTGTACCTTTTCTATCTACGCACTTTATGGTATCGATCTGTCCAACACACTTTTTTCCCTGACCTCTGTGTGATCTCGGTGTGTCGAAGTGGTGAGTTGCGTTTGGCTTTTACAGAACAAAATGTTGCTTAATTTAGAAGTCATACCTCATAAGAACATTTTCATGTAGGCAGTTCATGGTCCTCCATGAGTGATTTTTGCTGGTAGTCCGCCTACGCAGTGCACTTTTCAGTATTCAAGCTGTCCAAAATGTGGTATTAATTGATTTTTGACAAAAGTAGACGTAACTGGCGAAATTAATAATTAAACGACTGCAGTAAAAGTAAACTTCTTTTTGTCAACCGGTCGACTTAACTTGACTTGTGGCATCCTAATGAATCCGTAAAAAAAAAAAAACTAGATATATCTTGGTAGGTGGTGTAGGACAGTGCGAGCGATTTATGGCGTACAAATACGTAACATAATTAAAACTTTATCGGTGAAACAGAAACAAACAAAAAAAAGGTTCAAATTATAAACAAGAAAAATAAAGGTTTCCAGACAAAAGAATTTGATATCGTGAGTCTAAGTTTGTTCTATGTTTAGTACTGCAGACTAAATTGGGGTCCCCTTTAGTCAAAATAAGTTGTTAAGTGTTGTCTGTTTTAGGGAGTAGTGGTCGCCTATCGTCCGCGAGTGATTTACTGATTTGCTGAAAAAAAAATAAAAGGTTTACAAAGGAAATAATTTAATACAGAGTGTAAGTTTGTTCTACGTTCACTTTTAGTATTGCAGACTAAATTGGTGCCCTCTTTAGTTAAAGTAGGTTGTGAAGTGTTTTTCTGCTTGAGGGAGTAGTAGTCGCCTATTTCGCTGAGTCGTTCGTCCGCGAGTGATTTACTGGTCGTTGAGGAAAGGGTCTTTCCGTCATGTGATACACACTTTACACAACTTTTATATTGCTAATCGTGGTATTTAATCGGACTAAGTGCCGTCTAACAAAGCGTTCGCAACTGTACAATTCCCAACAATGAGCCAATAGGCGCTTGCAAACACCAAACACTAAAAAATGTATTTAAGAGCGTTTTTATTTTTGCAATTTTATATCAGTTGGATTTAGTTCATCAGTTAAGTTTTTCAAAATTGTCTTCTTCTAGCAATGATTATTTCGACATTCATTTTGCGACGCAGCTATGACACTGTCGTGTTACTGTTTCTTCCCGATATGATGGCGTTTTACGAGCCAATTTTTTTCACACAATATTTACAGGTAGTGCTGTTACTGTGCTACCTGTTCACGTGAAATCATAGGGAAGAAGCTAAGCTAAATTCTAAGATAGGAACCAACATTCCAATCATTCCGATATAAAAGCGAGATCCCAAAAGACTAGCTAAAACTCTAAAACAAACTCACAAAGAGACTGTCTTCAAAGGATAAATGAGAAACGCTTGAAAACGAATTCAAACAAAACTGATAACCGAGTGGGAAAAACGAGAAGCTTACTAACAAAGCATGAAAAACCTAAGCCAAGTGTTACAAGGTTGCAAAGAAACTGGTATAAAAACTGGGCGAAACTACCGAAAGAATAGATGTTTAAACAAGCACAAAGAAAAGGAACATAAGCATTTAAATAACAGTCCCGCTTGTAAGAGTTTGAACAAAACGAACTTCAAGACAAGGTGGGCAAAATGGCGCTTTCCGATAAACGCGTCTTATCGCTAGCCCAAAGCAAGGCAACTAACTAGAATGTGGTTCTGGGTGGAAATTAAAGATCACGTCCCTAATGAACAAACAGTAACGTCACTACTGCGGTTTAACACGTTTAACCGAAACAAACTTATAACGAATCAATGTCCGGTGGCAAAGGGGTGGCAGCCGTTACAACCACCATTAGGGTTCGAAAGATTGTTACCGTACAAGATTACATGTATCGGACAACCGTGACTCTTGTGTCATGTAATCGTTTAGCAGGTAGCTTGTTAAGGTTTAAAGTTACCTACCCTCTTCCCCTCTCACAGTTGTTTTAGTCTGTACTCGAGCTAATTGGCCCATCCAGATGAAGCTTATCTCCATTTCGATAGCATTAAGCGACTAGGAGTGTTATTACTCCCCCCCCCCTTGAGTGAGATAATAGTCCATCTGAATGCCAACCTCGAATGCTATACTCCCGGGTTAGGAGAGGCACTGTGATACATACTCCTCGACCGCGTTCACCTTGAACTGAACTAATCATCTATTTCTGATCCGTAATGGCTGTATGAAATATGTGTTCTGTAAACTGTTTCAAAACCACCAAGATTACTACCGCCAGGCACGGTCTTATAGGATACTCTAGTTCGTTCTTAATGTGTTTTTTTTGTTTTTGTTTTTCGAAAATTGTAGCTAAAACTGAGTGATAAAGAGCCAAATCTTGGAAAAAGTGACGCAAAAAACTTGTGCCCGAAGACTTAGACTTCGCCTTTGCCTCAGATGAACGGAAGTAATGATTTTCGGAAAACATTTCTATGTAGGTTAATTCAACGGAGCTTTATATTTCACGACATGAAGTGTGTAACACTAAAGGTGTAATTTGTGTGTAAGATCGAAACACCACTTTGTTAGCACATGACTTTAAGTTCTCTGTTGTTTTCCTTTTACGTTGTTTTAATTTTTCAATTTTGCATAATGTACTTGAACCAGTATTTAAAGCTAAAAATTAATCGTTTGCAGCAGTTTTCTCGTAAAAGCATAAGTTCATTCGTAAATCACATTTGAAGTCGCATCCAGTGCAGCTAACGTAACCCAACAACAAATGCACCTGTTATTCGACAAGTTCATTTTTCTCTATCTCTCTCTTGCTGTGCTGTACTGTACTTACTTTTAAAGTTTTGTTTGTAAATTGATGTTTTAGATCAACCGCTTGAATAATTAACCGTTTAACAGAGTCGCCGCCAGGGCAGCAGTTCAAATAAAGCGCGCGTAAATTTACTTGCTGGAGACTCCTTCGAGAAAAATACATTTTGACTGTATGTGAGGAATAGCAAAGATTTTGAGACCTCGATCAAAGGCGAAAATAATGATAGGGCTTATAAGCCTGTTTTTTTAAATCAGGCCTGGCGATTTGAACCGCCAGAACGAACCGAAAAAAAGAACGGGAGAGTCGGGCAAACATTTTTATATTAGAAATCTTAAAAATAGTGTATGTATCTTAAAAACTTTAAAAATCGCCAATCCCATTAGATAGAGGAGT